AAAAAAAAAAAATCAATTTCAATGGTGAGAATAATAGCTTCCATTTATTGTTTGCCCTGTGCCAGGGACTTAGCTAAAAGCCCCACTTGTGTCACTTCATCTCCTCTTCATGACCTTGTGGGGCACAGGTGCTCTTGCTACTCCCATCTTGGAAGTGAGATGGTAAATATCGAGTAGGGAAGCCAGATTCTGGATCCGGGAAGCCCAGCTTCAGAGCTCATGCACTTGACCACATTGCTATGCTGCTATGTGTAGTAGACAAAGATATCTCAGGCTCTTTGCTTTTTTGTAAGAATTGGAATGATCTCTGAAACACATTTTATTGCTTTGACCCTACTCCAGAAGAGTTGGAGCGCTCTCGGGGGTGTGGGACTAACATTCTCGTGTCCGACGTGTTCCCCTCCAGGAGAGCGGCTGGCGGTTGTGGAGGGGCAGTGTGAGCGGCTGCGGATGCTCTACCGGGACTGTGCTCGGCCGCCGCCGCCGCCGCTGCAGGCCGACCGGAGACAGGTGAGCCCGTCCGCAGCGCACTGGCACTGCGTTAAAGAATGCCGGGTGGCACCTGAGGGACCTCTAGAGGGAGCATTTGCAAAGCCGTTTGGAGGTGCACGCTCTGTGCTGACGTGCTCTCGTCTCTGAATGTCGGAGCCCATTGATTTGACAGTCTGAATAATGAAAGATCACAGCGGAGGAGCAGACTCACTAATTTGTGAATAATTTCTTACGTTATCAATAACCGAAAAAAACTCTGAAAATTTTAGATCTATAGTCCATCTTATAATGATAAGAGTATGCATAGAGACTGAGAGGTGATTAAAAAGCAAAAGTGGTTGGGGCGCCAGTGTGAAGCCCGACATGGGGCCCAACCCCATGACCCTGAAATCATGACCTGAGCCAAAACCAAGAGTCAGACGCTTAACTGACTGAGCCACTTAGACACCCTAATTATAAGAGTTCTTTATAATTTTAGCTGTACTAGTCCCTGATCAGGTAGCACATAAATCTTTTCTCCCATTGTGTGGGTTGTGTTTTCACTTCCTCAGTAGTATCCTTTGAAACACAAATGTTTTTCATTTTGGTGAAGTCCAGTTTCTCTTTTTTCTTTTGTTGCTTATGCTTTTGGTGTCATATCTAAGAGACCAAGGCCTAATTCAAAGTCATGAAAATTTACACCATTATTTTCTTCTAGGAGTTTTATAGTTTTAGCTGTATGGTTTTTTTCAGGTCTTTGATCCATTTTGAGTTGATTTTTGTGTGTTGATTGAGGCACTCCTAAGACCTCTGACTTTTGACTCCTAGACCATTTCTCATATTGCCAAACCACCTGGAATTCCCTTCATTCTCTGCTTATTGAAACGCCGTCTTTTCTAAGATCTAACTCAAGTCTGTCTTTCTGAAGCCTTTCTGGGTCCTAGAGTGAAGTCCTCACTCCCTCCTCTGTGCCAGTGTTTGTGCTTAGATCATATCGCATACCACAGCCTTGTACCACGTTCGTTCTTGGACGTGTAAATGCACGTACACATCTCATCTGTCCTCCCAGGATGGGAGCTTCAGCTCATATATCTTTGTATTCTCCAGCATCTTGCACTGTGCCTTGCTCGTAGGAGTTGTTAAGTAGATAGTAGATGTTTTAAAAAACAATTTCGGGCACCGGGGTGGCCCAGTTGGTT